AACTGTACTGTCCCAGAACTGGAAAGATGTATCAATACATAATTTATGTTCAGTCTCCCTTTTCTAAGTAGTAAAAACATTTAAGGACATAAAATGAATTGATTGTAAATATAAGGGTTTATTTCTGGACTCTTTTCCACTGATCTATGCCACTTACTACACTGTCTTGATTACTGTCGTTTTGCATTAAGTTTTGAAATCAGGAAGTGTACGTACTCCAACTTTGTTCTTTTTCAAGGTTATTTAGCTCTTCTTAGTGCCTTGCACTTCCACATGAATTTTAGAGACTTTCCACAAAAAGGCCAGCTGAAATTTTGATAGGGACTACATTGACTCTGTTGATAAATTTGGGGAATATTGCCATTTTAATAATATTAAATCTTTTGATCTGTGAACATGGGATGTCTCCATTTATTTATCTCTTCTTTCATTTAATGTTTTGTAGTTTTCAGGTACAAGTCTTGTACTTTCTTTCTTAAATGTATTCCCAAGTAATTATTTTTTATGGAATTGTTTTCTTAATTTCAGTTTCAGATTGTTCATTGCTAATATATAAAAAATACAATCAATTTTTGCATATTGATATTTATTCCACAACCTGGCTGAACTCTTTGATTAGTTCTAATAGTTTTTTAATATATTCCCCTTAGGATTTTGTAATAAAGTTTAACATCCTCTGGAAAACATTGTAATCTAAAAATTATATATAAAGCTTATCTGGTTTTTTTTCCTGAGTGTAAAAGGAATAATGAAAATTTTCCAGTTTCATTAAAAAACAAAAACATTAATGATGACATTTATTAAGAAAATCATATTTTGTTTATTGAGGGCAGTTAAGCTTGGCCAAAAACTCTTTATTGTAAAAGACATCAAACCTGTTGAAAAGTAGAAAGAAATAGTATAATGAAAATCCACATACCCTTCCCCTAGATTCACCATTTAAACATTTGCCAAATTGCTTTATTTGTCTATATACAAATATGTATATATTTATGTATATAAACGTGTACTTCTTAATTTTTGCTGAAACATTATGAAACTTTTACCCCCAAAGTATCTGCTAAAAACAAGGGCATTATCCTACATATCTACAGCCCCATTATCATACCTAAGAA